TTTATCCATTTAACCCTTTATCATTAATCTTCCTAATACATTACCATTATTTCACACATTTTTTTTCGATACCTGATAGTACTGACTCAAGTCGTCCACCGGCACTATCAGGTACCGTTCCCTTCGGTATTATCTAGTACTGACTCAGTTCGTCTACCGGTACTAGACTTTACCCTGCTTCCCTATAATAGTACTGACTCCACTTCGTCAACCGGTACTATCATAAAGACGACCACTCAGATCCACCAGTACTGACTCCACGCCGTCAACCGGTACTGGCTTCACTATACATTTCCTTAACGGTACTGACTCCAAGTTCGTCAACCGGTACCGCTCCAGAAACGTCCACCCAACTATACCAGTACTGACTCCACATCGTCAACCGGTACTGGTATTCCATTTCGGTATTAGTACTGACTCCAAGTTCGTCAACCGGTACTATTACCGAAACCACATAACATCCAGTGTTGACTCCAAGTTCGTCAACCGGCACTGGTTCCAAATCCGTACATCCCCGTACTAGCACTGACTCACGCCGTCAACCGGTACTAAGTACGGGGTTCCTTAATCATTCAATCACATGCATCATCATAATTATTCATCCGTTATTTCTATATCGCAATTCCGAGTACTTCTCTTAAATTTACCCTTCGTATCCATTCGGTTTAATTCCTTTCTTCTATTTACTTTTACCTTTTTCACGCTCGTTCATCCTTATTTTATCCTATTTCGTTTAAATACCATTTTTCATCGTATCACCGTTTAATCCGTTTGATTCTATAGTCGGGGTTGCGGCCAGTCCATTCTACAGGGCAGACCGTCCGTTCTACATGGCAGACCGTCCGTTCTACAGGGCAGATCGTCCGTTCCACGAGGACAGGGCGGACAATCCGGTTTTCTTCGGACCGTCCGTTCCATAAGGTCCAGAACGGGCGGTCCAGCTAACCAGACCGTCCGTTCTCCGTTATTTTCTGGACCGGACGTTCCGGGTTCTGTTGGATCAGTCGTTCTAGTTTGTTTATACACGTTCGTTCTGCTGAGTCCCAGAACGGACGGTCTACGTCCGTAGACCGGACG